ATCCTGGTTAACCAGTTAACCAATTAAGCAGGATCCCCCAGCCCTGGGCTGTTGCAGGAGGCTCCCATTCATATCCCTCAAACAACAAGTACTTGGAGCTGGTTTTCCCATCCACAATACCCTTTATGTGGGTGAACTTTTGACATGAGAAGTGTTAAATATTATAGGCTCACTTTAAGAGATAAGTAATTACAGAGTCATAATTGGTTAACCAGTTAACCAATTAAGCAGGATCCCCCAGCCCTGGGCTGTTGCAGGAGGCTCCCATTCATATCCCTCAAACAACAAGTACTTGGAGCTGGTTTTCCCATCCACAATACCCTTTATGTGGGTGAACTTTTGACATGAGAAGTGTTAAATATTATAGGCTCACTTTAAGAGATAAGTAATTACAGAGTCATAATTTAGTTCAAATTCTAATATCTTGTACTGAAAAGGTCTTGATCTTGGAGATAAACATTTTGTATACTAGGCTAAATATTACATCTATTGTGCATTTATAGATTGTCAGGTCCACCATTAGGAAAAATCAAGAGTATTTAGTTTCTTTTTACAAGACCCCAAATTGACTTTGTTCAGTCCATAAAAGTTACAGATGCAAAATTTCCTGAGTAAAATATGCCCATTACAATGCTGTATCTTTTGGTTTACCCTGATTAGAGAGAGAACCTCATTTTGTGGACAAGAGTAGAAACACTCACTGCTCAGTGATGCAATGAGAACTGAGTATTCCTAACTGGCAGTCCAATCTGATGTTTGACACTGGAAATGCAGATTTCAATTTGAATACATGGGTCAATACAGGCATAGTAGGTTTATGCTGTAGCAGTCATTTTAACCCTGGTTAAACTGGCTTTCATTCATCAAGTCAGACCACAATTAGCAACTTCCCATTTTTAGACACGTCAGGGTCACTTTAGCATGAGGGATATCAATTCATTCCTAGATACATACCAGAATACCCATGTCTTCCTATGTCACAATACCTCTTGTACTTTGTGCAGTATATGCAAAAATCAACACATTAATACTGTTCACATATTTATTGGTGGCAACAGTCAATATAGTGCTTAAATTAACTTTACTAATTCAAGCTAATTCAAGGCTTCATACTGTGCTGAAGATGAAAATGAGGTCCAGCGTTCTTGATTCATTTCAGTATAGAGTCTTCGCTGGCTGAAAGGGAATCAAGACAGTCAAGTGAGCTCACTGCTGTACAATGCAAACAACTCAAATATACAAAAGCCTCCGTGAAGAAAGAGATGTGTTTTTTTGGTTAAAAAACAAACAAACAAAACAAAACAAAAACACAGAACACAACACACACACTTTTGACAATTCCCAGTTCTCTCTAACCAGATTTTAGGAAGTTATTTGCATTTTCCCTGTGCCCATTCCGCAGCTGTTTGGTTTAAGGTTTCAATGATGCAATATTTACACCATTTTATTTATAGCCTCCCCCCCCACACAACTTACATTATTAGATGAGTTCCCACTTATTTTTCTAAGTTAGGGCAGATACCAAATACAAACATTCCCAAACTGTGGTCCATGCATAGCAAACTGGGCCACATGCTGCTGACTCTTCATCGATAGTGGCTAACCTGCATTCAGTGCAGCTGAGAGTATTTGGAAAAAATAAGTATTTAATACACATTATTTGCTCTATTTACCCCAGGGATATTAGGCAATTGGTTAATGGGAAGCGAAGCAGTTTCCCTATCTTCCTATTCTCAGTTATGCAATCCATGATATGGGAATGAAGGAGCCTGTGGTAACACCTGTCCCAATAAAACAGAAGTTGTCAAGATTTATTTTCTTAAGGCGTTGCTACTCCTAGCTATACACTTTAAGCATATTTAAGTTTTGTGTACCTAAAATCCCATGCCAGTCCCATGAAAAAGTACACAGCTGAATAGCTGACGTCTTAAACAAGAAAGTTCCAGACAAATAAGGGAAGAATGTCATTCAAGGAAATAAATGAGGAGGTTGTATGCTTATAGTTATATACTGAATTCATTTTTATGAATTTAGGGGGTTAACTTTAACCTTCCTGAGATCTAGGAGTTTTGCCCTTTAGTAAGGGCAAAGAAGAAAATGACAAGCGTCTACAAATACCATAAAGGGCTTAAAGATCAAAGGAGGCTGAAGTACTGTATTAAACATAGTACACAGAGGCACAAACAATAGAATAAAACTGAAAGGAAAAAATTAGACTCCAAATTAGCAAGAAAGTAACGTTGCAAGATCTATCAAGCTACTAAATAGCCTAAGCCAAAGTTTCTCAATTGGTGGGTCACAAACAGAAATCAGGAATTGAAAGTGTTATTACTATCTAAAGCCTAGAAAAACTTGCTTGTCCATTTGCTCTTCAAGATTATGTAGTCTATCAAGGTCTCAACATGCACGCAAATAAATTACATTTAGTGTTATTGCTGATACATTTACAGTAAGACCATAAAAGGGTAGTCTTTTCTTTTTACTTCAAATAAGGGGTTGCCAAACAAAGACATTGGCAAACACTAGTCTAAGTGGCCTGTGCTCTATTGCCTGAGACGTAAGTGTTCAGCCCATGCATAGAAAGAAGCACACTCTTCAGAATTAGTGTGTGCCAAAAAGGGATACCCATCTGTTCTAAACTGCATGATTATATGACTTCTCTGTTTTAAAGCAACCATCTTTTTAATTCTGTCCATTAAGAACACCAAGAAACTGTTCCTCTGTCAAAAGGTAAATTCAGAAAATTTGCTAGGGAGAAACTTTATCAACAGCTGCTGAAACTGAAAAAAGGAGATGGAGGGTATGCACAGTAAACCTTTTCCTGGATTTAAAAAAAGGACTACATCTGCTGCCAAGCTGTGCATTTAGTCATGCTCAACATTTTTAAGTGCTATTTAATTTTTAAGTAGGCTGTGCCACATCCAAGGCCAACCAAAGTCTGCATGTGTTAAAGATAGTTGTATGTAATTATTCCATCACTGTTTCTACTTCCAGAACCTGGGAAGTAATTTGTGTTCTTATACTAAGGAGTCAAAACTAACCTAGCAGCTTCTTCCTATATTCAGTGCCCATCCTCAACTGGCATAATAGACATGTGAGAAGTCAGTTAAAGTCTTGTGGGCAAAATTTCAAGTTGATACTTAATATCTGGTCCTTTTAGTACAGACTTAATATGCAGTCAAAACTGTGATATAGGAGGAGAAGGATCATCATGTAGATCAGCCTGTCCACTAATAAAAATCTTCCCAAAGAGACTTCTTCCAATGAAAAGACTCACAATTTCAATACTTTATAGATCCTATTTAATTTGAAGCAAGGAGACTAAACCTATTTTCCTGTAATATAAAGAATTACTATTGAGTACTTGGAAAATAATAAATTTGTCATCCTTTCTGCTGTATTGGACTGTCCTGTACAGTATTTGTATTGTTCTTCAGCTCAGACAACTGTATTAAAAGTACGTTTTTTTAATAGCGCACGATTAACCAGAAAATAAAACGAACACAATGTTGTCTGTGTTTTCTACCTTGCTGGTATTAGTTTTAATGAAGACATTTAAATGAAAAGCTAACTATGAAAATATTTTCATTTATGTGCATTTAAGCCACTTGACAGTGTCTCTTGGTTTTAAAAAGCAAATACCATAAAGTGTTTTCCCATGTACTTTGAGGATATAGACTGGGTATGCTAATATATAAAAAAATACCTTCTGCCAGTTCTTTTGCAATTCGTTCCAATTCTTCGCGTTTCTTTTTCTCTTCATTTTCTCTTTTCCTTTCCTCTGCAGCAATAGGTTTTAGGTAGTCTGTCATTGAGAAAAAATGTTATGTATCCATAACCTTTTGTCTAAGGCACTTCATACATAAAACTTTTAGAAACTTCTGGTTCAAGGATAAAAATCTCATTTGGCCAGCAGTACTTTGAAAGCTAGCACATAACTGTCCCCAGTTTTACATTATTTATCAATAAACATCTTAGTGTTTTGCATCTTCAAGTCACCAATGAAATGTATTTTGTGTTCCACAAGTGCAAACTCTTTCTGCAAGCTAACTAGCAAGAGTTTAGAAGCAAGTATTTCAGTTCTACCCTAGGCATTTAGTGAAGATGCATCAACTTAAGACTGAAGCACTTTGACCATCTCTACTTTTTTGCACCAGTGCAAAAATCTTCTGGAGGGCAACCGAAGCCGGAGCCCATTCAAGTCACACTATCCTAGGTGAGGAGAGGTGTGGGGGAGGAAGAGGCAAAGTTCAAGGGCTTCAGCCCTGATGGGGAGCCTGTAACCTGAACCCTGCTACCCATTACAAGAGGGGTCCCAACTCAGAGTTTTGAGAACCACTGACTGAGGGCACGCAAAGCCTTAGACACCAGTGCATTGAGAACTTATGGCCTGTAGCTACACTTTTGGGGCTTTTTTGGAGAAACAGTGACTTTACTAAAATAAAACACTATTTAATCAAAGTGGTTCACTCCCCTACTGTAGTTCTCACAAGTAGCTTTGTGCTGGTCTCCTGTGCTGCCCTTCATGCTTGAGACAAACTTCCTGAAAAAAAATCTGTAGAACCTCATATTCCTTCTTCCTATTCTCCTTTGCCGTGTCTACAAGAAGGTTGCTATACTAAAACCAACACCTCTCAAGTTGGCCAATATGAACTTATTGTTTCCTCATACTCCCCCACCTGAGTGTATACACGCCTGTTGTCAAATATTCATACTTCATTGTAAGCTCCCTGGGGCAGAGACCATCATTTATTCCGTTATAAAAAAAATTAAACAATGGTCCTGTAGCACCTTAGAGACTAGCCAAACAATATATAGATAGTATCCTGAGCTTCCATGGGCACAACTCACTTCTTCTGAAGAATGATATATTTGTTATCGGAGGACAAATTTACTCCGTTTGTCTAGCTTTAACTTTCTAGCCATTGGATCTTGTTACCAAGCACTATGATAATGCAAAAATGTCTTTACCAAAATAAGATATACCAATACAGATTTCATTACATCACCTTTTTAAAAGAAACCTGTTTAGTTTTTTTTAAAAAAAATCCTGTGTAACCGTGTACACAGTTAACCAGTGAGCCTGGACTCATCTGTTAACGCTCACTGTTACACACAGTCTCCTGGTACGCACTGGGAGCCAGGTTAAAGGCTGGCTCCCTGTGTGCGCCAGCTCCCTGGGAACTCCTGCTATTTTACACTGTAACTGCAGTTAGTTACTTAATTGCATGCATTTTAACACCCCTAACACAGACAAATCCTTATTCTTGCTCTTAGTCAAAGCAGACTCAGATGACCTCCAAATACTTGAACTACTGCCTGGCCTTCGGACACATAGTGCTAAAGAATGACCTAACACAAACTCAAATTAGATTTAACAATAACAAGAACTTTATATACATGCCTGCCAACGTGCTCACCAAATTCAAGGTGCCACTAAATACGTAATCAACACCGTAGTTTTTTGTGTATCAGCCTGTATCCTGACTTTACTATTCAAAACATCAGACTCAGTAAACAAATTACCAACATTTAGTTACACCTAATCCTTTTACTATTGACTGGATTTTACAAACATGAACCTAAAGATCCAAGCATCAATAAAGACCAATAAGCTTCCAATTGACAACTTACGTCACTTCAAAGCTTATATAGTAATAATGGCAAACAAACTGGTTTTTCATCCAAGCCAACAAGAAAATAAAAGGAGAAGGAAGTAATCTCTTTTACTGGACTAACTTCAGGTCACTGAAAAAGAGCTCTGTGGGGCTCAAAATCTAGTCTACTCCATCAATGAAGTTGGTGTAATAAAACATTCTCTCACCCACTTTGTCTGATCTAAGGCATACACAATACACACTTTTCCTGCTAATTACACTAGGAACTGATTGGTCAAAATATACAGTCATAGACTATGTCTACACTACATTCCTCTTCCGAAAGAGGAATATAAATGAGGCCGTTTGAAAATTCAAATGAAGTGGCAGATTACAAATTTTGCGCTGCATTTGCATAATAGCATGAGAGCGCTTTTTCAAAAAAAGGGTTTTTGAAAAAGGGGGTTCCCCCCCAAAAAAAGAACATAGTCATACTGGGTCAGACCAAAGGTCCATCCAGCCCAGTACCCTGTCTGCCGACAGTGGCCAATGCCAGGTGCCCCAGAGGGAGTGAATCGAACAGGTAATGATGAAGCCATCTCTCTCCTGCCATCCATCTCCACCTCTGACAAACAGAGGCTGGGGACGCCATTCCTTTCTCATCCTGGCTAATAGCTATTTATGGACTTGACCTCCATGAATTTATCTAGTTTTCTTTTAAACCCTTTTATAGTCCTAGCCTTCACAACCTCCTCTGGCAAGGAGTTCCACAGACTGACTATGTGCTGTGTGAAGAAGAACTTCCTTTTATTTGTTTTAAACCTGCTGTCCGTTAGTTTCATTTGGTGACCCCCTACTTCTTATATTATGGGAACAAGTAAATAACTTTTCCTTATTCACTTTCTCCACACCACTCGTGATTTTATAGACCTCTATCATACCCCCCCCCTTCGTCTCCTCTTTTCCAAGCTAAAAAGTCCCAGTCTCTTTAATCTCTCCTCATATGGGACCCGTTCCAAACCCCCTCATCATTTTAGTTGCCCTTCTCTGAACCTTTTCTAATGTCAGTATATCTTTTTTGAGATGAGACCACATCTCTACGCAGTATTCCAGATGCGGGCATACCATGGATTTATATAAGGGCAATAAAACAGTCTCCATCTTATTTTCTAGCCTTTTTTCTAACCCCCGTCTAGACTGCAGTTTCTTTTTTGAAAAAGCACTCCATGCAATTATGCAAATGAAGCACAAGATTTGTAAATCCACACTTCATTTGAATTTTCAAACCGCCTCATTTACATTCCTCTTGCGGAAGAGGAATGTAGCTTAGACGTGCTCATAGAGTTTAAGGCTAGTAGACCTGACCGCCTATTCATCTCAGAATATGGCAGGGCTGTAGATATTAGCTTGCAAGGGTCACGGCTCCCTGGCCACTAAGTACTTGGACAGCCAACCAGGAGAGAATCAAATGCTGCCCTGCTGATTAGCAGAGCCTCCACAGCCAACAGCTTGTCTGCCTAATGGTGGTGCACATCCACACATACCTCAGTGCACGTAACAAAACTTATTCCGCACATGGATGGAAGAAGTACAAGGGGCAGGGCTCGTGCGGTCACTGCAGCCGCTGCCCCGGCACTTACCGTATCGCGTCTTCCCGTAGAGCATCCCCACCAGCAGGGCCGAGTAGCGGGCGAACTGCGGACGGGAGGAGGGGGGAAGGGACGTTATTTTGCACCCGGACACCCGGCCCAGGCCCCACAAAACTTATTCCGCACATGGATGGAAGAAGTACAAGGGGCAGGGCTCGTGCGGTCACTGCAGCCGCTGCCCCGGCACTTACCGTATCGCGTCTTCCCGTAGAGCATCCCCACCAGCAGGGCCGAGTAGCGGGCGAACTGCGGACGGGAGGAGGGGGGAAGGGACGTTATTTTGCACCCGGACACCCGGCCCAGGCCCCGCTCTGACCCCTCCCAGGGTCCCCTTCCCTCTCCCGCCCGGCCC